TTTTTTTTTTTTTTTTTTTTTTTTTTTTTTTTGTACCAGGGATTGAAATCACGTCCTTGCAGCTTGTGAGGCAGGTGGTGGAACTACTGAGCTAAATCCCCGGCATGTTCCTTATTTCTTTTGTTTGAGCTGGAGACCCTGATTCTTCTTTCAATGTACGCTGTTAGTATTCTTTCCAAAAATTGCTGTGACTCTACACTCGTCTCTGTTTCCATTGCCACCAACCTAGATCATTCTATCACCAGTTCTTGCCTAGATTGCCATAGTTCTCTCCTAACAGGTTTCCAGGCTTTTCCTTTTGCTTCCCTCAAATCCATTTTATATCCAAGATATAAATTCACATATTTCACTTCTGTACTTGATACTTTCATGACTTCTCATTACATTTAGCAATTCCTTGTCATGATTGGCCTTTTATGTCTATTAAGCTTCCTCTTATGCCTGCTCCCTCCCACTTGCTCACAACTTTTCAGCCAGTGGTCTTCTTTTATGTTCCTCAAGCTGCTTTTCCCCAACTTGTGTCTACCTAGAATTCTTTCCCTCCAATTTCTGTGGGACTGGCTTCTTATCATTTAGGCCTTGATTTAAATATCATCTTTTTCTCAGACTATTTTATCTAATACAGTAGATACTGAGGTTAGAGACTTTTTTTTCCTGTTGGATCTTCAGGACCAAGAATAGAACTTGGCACAAAGTTGATAATTCAGTTGAATTTAAAAAAAAGTATGTATCTTGCTAAGTTAAATTTTTATACAACATTTTTTGTTTTGGTATTTTAGCATACCTGGTTTTATAAGTGTAGAGCATCCTTTATAAAGAATTGCAGGATAAGTTAAGATTTCTTAGTGACAACAGTTAAATAACAGAGTGAAGAGAATAAATAGCAATGATGTCCCCAGCTCAGATACTAATTTTCAACTCAGATTTCAGTACCCTACATCATACCCTAGTTATCAAAGCTTATGATATAGATCAGCATGATGATTAGAAAAGTATTTTTAAGTTAATAGAGTAATTAATGTCACCCTTGTGTGTTAGGGATTCAGAATTTTCTATATTTTTTCTCTTTCCCTTTAATTCTGCCAAGTATTTTATGGATTACTATACTCCAACCTCAGACATAGTTGTTTTAGGGAGGTTGTTCAGTTTTGTTATCATAGAATTGTGTACCACAAGACCTTAGGCCTGGTCACATAATACTTTCTTATCAAGTACTTGATCTTTCTTTCAAACTCTCCCATTACTGTATCAGTTTAAACTCATTGAAGACTTGAACTGTACGTTGTCATTGTGTCCCTTATTTTTGATGCACATTAATTGCTCAATGAATGGAAAACATGAATCACTATACTCTCCTTTTCTGTTACATTTACTTCTACTTTGCAGTGTGTTCTATTTACTGATGTATTTATTTCAATGAAAAGTTAATGCTAGTGATGATTTTCTTTAAGCAAATTTACTGAGTTTAAGAGATAAACAAATAACGTCCATATGTGTTTCAGATATGATCATTCCGTTTCAAATGACAAAGCCCTAATGGTACTAACTGAAGAACCACTACTTTATATTCCTCCACCTCCTTGTCAACCCCTGATTAATACAACCGAGTCACTCAGGTGGGTGTTGTAGATTTTGTCCGAAATATCTAAGTAAGCTCCCATGGCTAGCCTTAGAAACTTGGAAAGTATTAATTCAGATTCCTAAGTGGCTGAGAGAATCTCTCAATTACTTATTTGATAATCATGGGTGTATTAGTTTTCCCTACCATACTGATAGAGATGGTGATGGGTCTATTTGATGTGATGGTGGCATAGTTGAATATGTCTTATTGGAAAACTACAAAATAATGTTAAAATTCATTGTAAGGGCTACACTTGTGGATGGTGACATCCATAGCAAAATGTACCTTTTTCTTGAAGTTAGGAAGATAGTAATTTGAGGCTTTGTGATTCATAAATGTTTTCTTCTTATTGAACTCTTCCTTCTCAACGTTCCTCTTGAGTTTTTTCTGTGACTTTGAAGCAGATCCCTGAACCTCAAAAACTGCCTTAGTTTGGTGTGTCTGTATCTGTGTATTAACTAGAAATCAATTATAGTCAAACAAGAGTAGCCTCACACCTTTACAGTTTCTCTTTAAAGTAAACAAAATAAGCCAGGCGTGGTGGTGCATGCCTGCAATCCCTGCACTCAGGAGGTTGAGGCAGGAGGATCACTGCGAGACCAACCTGAGCTACATAGTGAGACCCTGTCTCAAAAAACCAAAAAAAAAAGTAAACAAAATAAAAGGAAGTTATATTGAACTAGTCCTTAATTTACGCTGTTGAAAAATATGAACTTTTCTTTCCTTTGGCATTTCTGTTGGTTTCCTTCTGAAAAAGATTTTCAAAAGTCCTAATTTATCCATTTGTTGGTAGGAGTCCAGTGATGCCTGCTAGGATTTCTGTATTGTCTCAGATGCTTGTATGTGCTGTACATGGCTCGAGAGCAGAAATAGTAAATATTGTTTTTGTGGAAAAACTTTTGCAGCCAGTATTTATATTGGGCAGATATTTAACCATGGTTTTCTTTTAATTTTGAACTCACGATTGAAGAGACTAATATATAAAAGTGCATGTTTTATTAAAAACAACATTACACATCTTAGCTTTTTTATGTTAAAAAGCAATATTGAGTAATCAGGCCCTTGGAAAATTCTTTGGAACCTACAGAATGATTAAATTCATTTCTAGCCAAGGGATGACACATCTATTTTTGTGGAATATGTTTAATTAACTTTGTTTTATAGGTTAAATCATGAACTTCGAGGTTGGGTTCACAGACATGAAGTGGAAAGGACCAAGTCAAGAAGAATGACAAATAATCAACAGAGGACCGGTATTCTTCAGGTTTGTTTCTGCTTGTTAACAATGTCTGGCACAGTTGGAAGGCTTCCCCCAGCACAGTTACTCTCTTCTCTGGAAGATTTTGAAAGTTTGACATTTACCTATTTCCTGCTTCCTCTTGTTGCTTGTGATGTAGCTGTCATTGACACTTGAAAGCCCTCCTCTTAGGTTTTAGGGCACTTAATTTAGCTTTTATAGCACTAGTGTTTCCTGCTCAGCCATATTCTATTTCCTGCTTTCTCCTTCAAATTTTCTTCAAGCCAGGAGTTCCTTTGCAAAGATCTCTCTATTAAATGTTTTTAGCATATAGCTGATACAATAAGTAATATGTTTACTCAGGGAGCTTCTCAATAAGAACGTGTTGAAACATCGCACAGTTTGGAAGTGAGGACTTATTCATGGAGGGCATTTCTGAACTTGGACATGTACCACTATGGGTTAATGACAGTGTTTACTTAAAACTATTTAGAGAACTTTTATCCAAATGTTGTTAGTCACAAAGCATCATTTATAGTCATTTCATCATTCATGAGATACTTGTAGTACTTCTTCTTCTTCTTCTTCTTCTCCTTTTTTTTTTTTTTTTTTTTTTTTGGTACCAGGGATCAAACTTAGGTCCTTGCACTTGCGAGGCAGGCAGTAGAACCACTCAGCTAAATCCCCAGCCCCTGTTACAACCTCTGAAGCATTTAGACTAGCAACTGGCACACTAGGAGCTCCCAGAAAACATTACCCACGGTGATGATAATGAGCCACAGACTGTTCCAGGCCTGAGAATATAGTAGTGAATATGATAAAGTCCCTCCTTTCATGGAGCTTACAATGTAATGGGAGAGCAAAGAATAAACAAGTAAATAAATACACATACTCAAAGTTAGGGATAAGTGTGCTATAAAAAAAAAGAAGAAAAGCAATCAGGCAAGCATTGTGGAAGGTAAAAATTTGAATTAAGAAATGAGTGGCTATTTGAGATTGAGTGGTCAAAGTTTCTCTGAAGCTCCAGGTACTGTAAATAGTGCTGGCTGTTAGAACAGCCTCAAAATATCTATAGCTTAATGGAATAAAAGATGTTTCTTATATAAGGAAGCTCTCTAAGCTGCCTTCCTTCCAAGCAATGTCTTAGGGATTCATGTTCCTTCTACTATGTAGCTCCAGCAATTTAAGCTTTTGCCTCTGGCTTTAGGTGTTGGGGAAGAGAGAGACTTTTTTGGATGAAACTATCACTTTTTCTAGTGTAATGCAAGGGAGACTGGAATAGGTAGTTCTTCTGTATACACAAGAAAAAAGGTTTGGTGAGGGCACTGCTTTTGTCATAGGCAGAGAATGACAGAAAATAGTGTAGTGATATAGGGGAAATATGGAGAAGTGCTTGCAGACAAAGAGAACAAGAGGGAATAGTTTGCATGTGGAGGAGGCTTAAGAAGATGAGCAAGAGTGGAATATAGTGACTGAGGGGAGCATGGTAGGAAATGAGATTAGAGAGGCTGCAAAAGTGAGATCATTGAAAACTTCATCAGCTTGTACCCTAGGCATGAGGGAGCACCGTTGAAAAGTTTGACCAGATAAGTGGCTTGATCTGATTCACACACACACACACACACACACACACACAGACACACACAGACACAGACGTTACTTCATACATGCTAGGCAAGTGCTCTCCCATTGAGCTACATCCTCCAACTCCTGATTGGTATTTTTAAAAATCATTCTAGCTGCCACAGAGAGTAGACCATGGCAGGGAGGAGTAGAACGAGTAGGGTGTCCAGTTAAGAAGCCATTTCAGTAGTCTAGGTGGGAGATCTTTTGGAACCCATACTAATGTGATAGATGTAAAACTGAGGATGCCAAATATAGTTTGAAAGTAGAGCTATTTGAAATTGTTTCTGAGAAATAAATGGAATTAATGGTAATTCCTATACCTTAACTACTGGATGAATAGTGATGCTATTTACTGAGACCAAGATTGGGAAAGGAAGAGTTGGACACAGGAGTTAAGAATTTTAGATATGTTGAATTTGATAGGTAAATTAGACACTCAAGAGGAGAAATCTAGTGGACAATCAGGTATCTAGGTCTGGAGTTAGTAAAGAGGTTGAAACTGTAAGTTTCATTTGGGGGTGAAATTTTCTAGTGAGAAACCAAAAAGGAAAGGAAGGAGAGTGAGGTAGTGAGTCTTGGGCCTACTCCAGCATTAGAGGCTAAAGAGGAGCACCACTTGAGAAGGAAGATGTGTAGCAGGCCAGTGTGACAGCCAAAACTGTGATGCTCCAGAGCCCAAGCGAAGTTTTTTTTGTTTTTTTTGTTTTGGTACCGGGCATTGAACTGAGGTCTTTGTGCTTGCGAGGCAGGCAGCAGAACCACTGAGCTAAATCCCTGGTCCCAAAGAGTTTTTTTTAAAGAAGGAAGATATGATTAACTGCAGGCTGAGGGATATTGATGGATGATGACCAAGTGATGAACACTGAGCTTGTAGTTCATTAGAACTTGGTAACTTCGATGAAAGTTGTCTCCTTGTAGTTGTGATGACAAGTCTACTTGAAGTATATTTGGCTAGTAATAAGAGATGAGAAAGTGGGGAAAATTATTCAGGATAATTCCTATAAATGCCAATAGAGAAATAAGAGTAGCTCCAGAAATCAAGAAACAAGCTTTATTTTGGGGTGGAATATATTTCGCTAGATTTGCACGTTTATATGCTAGTGGAAATATCTTAATTATTTGATCATTTGTTGACTAATTGGAAGCAACGTGTGATATGCTCAAAAATATGTTAAAAACATATCTAGAGGCATGAACTTTTACCATTATGGAATTTTACTAGCATTGGAATGCAGAGTCAAACTGCAAAAACTTTAGTCTGCCAAATCTTACACGTCATTTACCATGATAGCCAGAGGCAAGATGGACTCTCTCCCATCTACTTTCTGAATCTGGAGCAAGCACATTGCTAGTATTTTGTGGGGGGAGGGGTTACTAGGGATTGAACCCAGAGCCTTCATACCCAGCCCTTTAAAAATCTGTTTTAGTTTTAGACAGAGTCTTACTAAGTTGCCCATACTGGGCTCATACTTGATCCTCCTGCCTCAGCCTCGCAAAGTGCTGGAATTGTAGGCATGCACCACCATGCCCATCCAGTGCAAGCACATCTTACTGGCAAAATCTAAATTATATCCAGAACCCCACCCTGGTGACAAAAGACTTCAGGTAGTATAGTTTTCATGTTTCCATCTTTTACAACATAGGAGAAGGACACAGGAGGCCAGACTAGTCATTGCCAGTAGATAATCCCACACAGCTGCTATAATGCTCTGTGTGAAAAATTAGATTAAAATTCTTAACTTAAATGAGGATTTTTTTTTTTTGCTTTTTTTGGATATAATTTGTCATGCTATTCTTTCATATTGATTGAATTAAAGAATAGAGCAATTACTGTGGATGGGGTAATTTTTTAATTTGAAGGAATTCTAATACAAGGAAAAAATTTTTTTAACTTCATAGACTTCATTTATATAAGATTTATAGTTCAATCAAAAGTCTTATCTCTTTCTGTTCTTTTGGGAACTTGAATAATGGTCACAAATCAGAAAATCTCAGCTTTCTGTAGGGAGCTTGGATAATGGTCAGAAATGTAAAAGTCTTAGCTTTTACCAAAAAAGGAACAGGATGCATCTGTATTTGTCCAAGTAAAAAAGTTCTTGGTTAGTTAGAGAAGAGACAAAAATTATTACCAGAATTTTGGGGCAGCAGTAACAACTTGAAGGATCCTAACAGACTGGGTTATGCCACTTGCTTCAAGATGCCAGCACAAACATGAACAGTAGTGAGGAGAGGGAAGACCTTTAATCATTATAGCTATACTGGGAAGACAAGAGGCCTTGCTTCTTTTGCCCTGTCTTCAACACTTCTGGCATAAGCTCCCAGATTTATAGACGAGGGGAACAGAAGTATGGGTAGTCAAACAGTCTTTGTCAGAAGTGTTCTGGCTGATCATTATATCAGGATTGGTCAGTCAGGGCCATGTTGGTTGTCATAAGAAAGTTGCTGTGGTCTAGGAGGGTATTTGTTACCATATTTGTAGATCAGAACTGATGTTCCCGGAATCCAAGGTGGCTGTCAGAGAGAGTAACTCAAAGTAAAGGAGACTGATACAGAATGGAGGCAGAGGTGCCACGTTTTTATCCTGCTTTGAGTTACTTGTTGGACATTTGCAGGTCCAAGTGAAGAGTCAAGTTTTGTTTTTTTGGGGGGTGGGGGGATTGAACTGAGGACCTTGTGCTTGCAAGGCAGGTGCAGAGCCGCTGAGCTAAATCCCTGGCCCCAAGGGTCCAGTGTTTTTACCGGGATCCTTCTGCTTATGCTGTTTTTGATTTTAAACATGTAAGAATTTCTTTTATTCTTAGTGTAGAGAGCCTGTGGCTACTCTCCTCTCTGTTTTCTTTGTAACCTTCTTCCCACCCCCCACCACCAAAGGTTACTTCTTTAAATGCTAAAAGAATCTAAGAGTCTCAATTTGGTGATTTGACACTTCTTTGAAATTTCTTTTGTTTCTAAGTAAATTTTGATTTGACTTGTCCTCTTTCATAATTTTACCCTCTTCCTAAATTGTGAGTTATTAGACAAAGTAAAATCTCAAATTAGTGGCAATATCATGCAAAATGAAGGCAAAATAAAGGTAAAGCTAAGAGAATTATTTTCCAGAGGACCTGAACTATACGAAAATTCAAAAGTTTTTAGACTAAGAAAAATGATACTGGGTTGAACCCCGGGTTATCAGAGAAAGACCAGCAGATTAGTGAGGGAGGGCATCATGGAATGCTCTAGGTAAAAGTGACAGACCTTTTAAAAAAATCTATATATTATGTTTGTATATATTCCTTTCAAAGTCTCATATTTTTAAAGTTTAAAAAAAGCAATTGGTTGTAGAGTTTAAAGATTAAATAGAAGAACACAAAGGGAGGAAGAAATGAGAAGAAATATACTGCTAAGTTCTTATATTATTCAAGTAATATTTCAAGGTACCTTGTGATTAACTTGCAGTGGATGGTACCATATTCCAGATAAAGGTTAACTTATGAACTAGGCACAACAAGAGATTAACAACAGTACCTAGTAATAACAGAACAGTTACAACCGTATACTGTAACAAAACTGCTAACATCACTACTTTTGCATCGGGCCCTTATTAAGTCAAATGAGGGCTACCTGAATGCAAGTACTGCATTACTATGACAGCTGAAGTGGTCACTAAGTGGTGACAGGCAAGCAGTGTTCACGGTGTGGATATGCTAGACAAGGATATGATTCATGTCCCAAGCAGGATGCATCAGGATGGTTAGAAGTTTCACTGGACTGCTCAGGACAGCACACAATTTAAACTTTATGAATTAGGTATTTCTGGAATTTTCCATTTGGTGTTTCTGGGACACAGCTGACTATGAGTAACTGAAACCATGGTCAGTAAAGCCATGCATGTTGGTGGTGGGGGGGCACTGTACAGCTAAAAAAGCCAACACAAGAAAAATAGAACACAAAAACAGTAGCTAAAAAACAGAGGGGGGCAGGAAAAGAGAAACAAAGAACAAGTAGAATAAATAGAAATGTCCTGGGGGGGATGCAGCTCAGTGACTCCATGTCTGCCTGGCAGTCGCAACGTCCTGAGTTCAATCCTGGTACCCCCCCAAATATCTTTATCTATATCTATCTATATCTATATCTATATCTGTATATGTGTAACAAGTAGATTAGTAATTATATCCAATGGGATAAAATATCAATTAAAAGGTAGAGGCTGTTAAAGTAGATTTTTAAAAAAGGAACATTCAAACTATAAGAAATAACTTATTTTTTTCATTAAGTTTATTGGTTTTAGGTGTACAGTACAGTCACATTCATCATTGGGATCTTGTACCTTTACATGACAGATCTTGGTTCTTCTTTTTTTCCCATACCCCTGCCCTCCCTTCACCCTCTCTACCCTTTCCTATTTACAAAGATTTTGTTTCCATTTTTTCCTTTTCTCATATTTTTTCTTTTCCCTTCTTTCCTTTCCCTTACTCTCCTCCCTTCCCCTACTTCATTAGCCCTTTTCTCCCTATTTCACATTATCAGTTATTCAATTTGAACCTACACTTTTAGTTTTTAAGAAATAACATTTTAAATATAAAGATACAGAAAATAAAAGGATAAAAATGTATACACTATGCAAGTATAAGCATTAGAAAACTGACTGATCGTATTAATCACATAAAGTAGACTTCCAAATGAAGGTTATTATAATAGCCAGGGATGTAGCTCAGTGGCGCTGTGCCTGCCTCACAAGCACAAGGTCCTGAGTTTGATCCCCAGTACTGGAAATTTTTTAAAAAATAAGGGTTATTGTAACAGACAAGGAAAGAAATTTCATTATAAAAATATCATTAATGAAAAGACATAGTAATTCCTAATAACAAAGATTTGAAATACGCAAAACAAAACAAAAAAATAACAAGTGAAGGGAAAAGTAGACAAATCACAACATAATCAGAGATTTTAATATCTTTCTTTTTGTATAAATGCTTACCTCATATATTTGCTAATTTTTACCTTTCAGTAATTCTGGGTAGCTAAAAATGAAAAGCCAGTTTTTTGAAGTTTCCTTTATTAATTTGTGTAAATCTTAAGTAATTTCTTTTTGCCTGATGTATCTGTCAGTTTTCTTTAAAGCCTACCCAGTCATTTCTGAGAGTAAGCAAAGAAATCAGGCTTCTTTCACACTTCTGTGTTTATTTCTTCTGTGCCAAAGTAGCAGAAATCATTTAAAATTCATCAGTGATTTCACCTATTCACTTTAAACTTTATATTTTTATTTATCAATGAGATATAATTCAATTTTGGTCTTATTTTCTATTTGCTTAATAGCTATGTCAGTAAGTACAGTATTTTATTTGTTTCTCTTTTTCTTTGGATGTTTTCCATTTTTATTTATTAAGCATGATTAATGAGCATTATTATTTACTGTGTGCAAGAACCACATTTGATTTTCATAAAACAGAACCTTTGGTTTGTTAGAGCTAAAAGTTGGAAGCCCTATAGTCAGTCTTTTCATGTTGGTTCCATTCACCAAATAAAATTCTTTCTTTTTCTCCCTTAAACTTTTTGTATATTCTTTTCTTTTAGCATTTATCATGTTGTATTGTTTTTATATATATTTGCTTTACCAGTTAAAAACTGAGCTTCTTGAAGGTAATCAGTTATTTACTTTTGTAATCCCCCTGCATGTAATATGCACAGGTGCTTTGATTGCTAAAAGATGGATAAGTGGACACAATAATGACCAAATGCCAGATGTCTTATGATTAAACAATTATTTAAGGCACTGTTTGATTGGAAAACAGTCAGGTCACTTTGTAATGTAATAATAGTAATATGGCCTTGAATTTTGATGCTCTTCTGAAGATCAGCTTATAAAACTGCCATGGAATGTAAAATGTTACAGTGCAGAGCAGATGCCATATGAAGAGAAGCGGTATAGTATGTGTGAACCAGTGCTGGTTCCAGACTGAATTGTTTTCTTGCCAAAAGAGTCATTGATGAGATCTGTTTAATGAGATTTAGTCCATAGGTGTATTTAGGTATGAAGATACAGGTGTATTCATTCAATTCAGTAAATAATGGGGATCTAGTTTTCATTTTAGACCTTTAATACTTCTTAGGAACTTGTTACTAGTAACAATTATTTTAGACACACATGTTATATATCCAGTAATTCTTTTTTTTTTTGGTACTGGGGATCGAATTCAGGACCTTTATCTTGTGAGGCAGGTGGTGGAACCACTGAGATAAATCCCCGGCCCTATCCAGTAATTCTTATAAGTGTGGTCAAAAAGCTTATAGTTCTCAGGGGCCAAGGATTTAGCTCAGTGACATCGTGCCTGCCTCACAAGCACAAGGCCATGAGTTCAAACAGTACCAAAAAAAAGGGCCTGTAGTTCTTAGACTAAACTTTTGTTCTGTCTTTAGACTATAGAAAGTGCCTTAAATATTTTAATCTCCATAAGACACATTTCTAAACCCAGGGTTTGACTTAGAGTTCTAATTTCTGTGTTGGAGTTAAATTACATGAACTTAATATGTCACAATATCCATGAAAAATAATATGAATACTTTAATAAAAGCTTAATAAATGAAAATAGCAAATGATTTAGTATAAGAAGATCTTCATATACTTTTATGATATGGTATTAAGCTTTCCTTTCCTTTTCTAGGGTGCCCTGGAACAGAGCTCCAATTCTCAGCTGATGGCTGTTCAGTACACAGAAACCACTAGTATCAGGTAAGAAACTGTAGAAGCTCTTAGCCACAGATTTTAAAATGGCATATATTCTAGTAAAGTTGAAACTCATGCTTCCCTTTTCCTTACCTATGTCTTTTATGTTACTTCACCTAACATATGCTAATTTTGAACACTATGCAATTTTGAATACATAGTCAATGCTATTCAGTCATAATTTTGCTGAAAATCTTAAATAAGCTTAGCTGTCTTTTCCTTGATTTGTATCTATTTTCTAAGTGTAGGAGAGAGGAATACTTTTTGTTGTTGTTTTGTTTTCTGCCAGATGTTTTGCTGGGTGCTTTATATGGAGTTTATCTTTAAATTCATATAATAATTTGAAGGTTATGTATTTGGAAAAACTGGGAAAATCATTAATCTGATGTAATTTTCAGTCATAGACCCAAACAGCAGAACCAGTATTCAGACCCTAGCTGTTTGACTTAAAATTTATTTTTTACTGCAAAATACTACTTGAAAGATGTCTTCATAAGACATATCCGAGTAAAAGGAAAGATGATGAGGGAGGTACTAACAGGGTTATGAGTAAGAGGTTAGCTCTAAAGTTTATCAGAACTCAGATCACTACTGTGCCATGTAACTTGTTCTGTGGTTCAAGGAGGGTAATGTAATTGAAATTTGGTTATCGACAGTTCTGGCGGCATAGACTTAGACCATATATTGAAACACTTAGAATGGTCCTTGACACGTATTAAGTGCACTTTCAATGGTAAATGACAAGTAGCAGTACTGAGAACTGTATCTTGAAAATGAAAGTGGGGAGTCTCAGGTTCTCTACTGCAGACTTACAGTTAACTATTTAATATTAACTTAGTATTTACTGAGAGCCTACTTTGTGCTAGACAGTGTTCTGGCCACTGAGAAAAATATATGTGTGTGTAAAACTGTAAATTGAAAGCTATTTTATTCATTACCTTATTAATTGAGAATTCAATGGCAATGAGCAGCACATTGGTAATCATGAAAGTTTAAAATTCTGAGGTTGTATTATCCTGTTGAAATAGGCAATTTAAATATATTTATGCAATAACTAGCAATTCTGTACTAACCAGAATTCAATTACTATAAATATAATTTTAAAATATATTTATCAGTTTTTTCAGCATGATTATGATGGGATTGTGTTTGGTCATTAGTTAAAAATGTTTTTAGTGGTTTACAGTCAGTCCTCATTCACAGACCCAAATCTTATTCTTAGATTTGGTATCTGCTATTCCTGGGATTGCTTTTGTTTTTGCTTTTGTTTTTTGGTTCCGGGGATCCAACTCAAGTCCTTGAGCTTGCAAAGCAGGTGGCAGAATCACTGAGCTAAATCCCCAGCCCAAGATCCTGTATCTGCTAATCTGTCTGCTTGCTAAAATGTGTTTATAACCCTAAGATAAATGCTTTCAATATTTGTGGTCATTTGCAAGCATGCACAAATGTGTGTGGAACACAACTGCCACAAATAATAACTGATTATATATCCAAAACATTATAATTAGAAATGGCTTAGTGAGCAAATGGGATTACTTCAAAGGAAAGTTTTTGTGACATATTTATGATTTCCTTTAAGGCTGATCTTGTTCATCTTTTAAGTAAATAATGTTTGATACATAAACATTTTATTTTTGGAGAAAAATGAAATATGATGGTTTTAATTCTTCTGGATGTTAGTTTATTGTGCTTAAAACTAACATGAAAAATTTAAGGAGTATATTTGTATCACTTGAGTGTTTTAAGGAGTGATATAGTTTGAGGTGCTATAATTTTAGTTTTTAATTTATGAAGGCATCTACATGGCTTTTTTCATATCATTTGCTAACAGTTGTGGAGTGATAACTTTTCACATATGATATCTCTGACCCCAATAAACAATTCTGCAAGGCTTATATAGTTACACCTTGTTGAGGAGGAAACTGAGTTTCCTCAGAGAGGTTACTGTCCCTAAGAATACCTCCTCGAGGAGTGGAACAAAAATTCAAAGCCAGTTTGCAACCGCTAAGCTTTTTCCACCTTTCACACATCCTTATAGGCAACCTCACCTTCACATATTGCACAGAAAGGTAAAAAATAAATTTTCCTCAGACTTAGTTTTTATTATGAACATATAAACTTATGCAGGAATTTTGTTTTGTAATTACTGTACATGTTTTTCAGTGTACTTGACCAACCTTGATTCAGAAATGGGAATTCTGGTTTTAACAAATTGAATCTTATAAATGTCTTTGATCTTGGGCTAAAATGTTATTTAAAAAATTACTGCAAGACATCTGTACTTGCATCTTTATTGAATCTCTATTTACAGTAAGTAGTCAGGGAATGGAAACTAAACATCCATCCCAATGACTGGATGAAGAAAGTGTGTGTGTGTCACACACAATAGAATATTATTCAACCATAAAAAGGTGAAATCCTGTCCTTTGTGTCAGGACTGGAGCTGGAGAATATATATCAGGCACAAAAAGACAAATGCCACATGATCTCCTTCATATGTGGGATCTAAAAGAGTTGATCTTGTAGAGAGAGTAGAATAATGGTTATCAAGGGCTGGGGAGAGTAGTGGGGAGGGAATGGTGGGGAAAGATTATCAGTAGCTTCTAAGTTACAGTTGGATAGAAGTGAGTTCGAATGTTCCCTTGCACAATAGGGTCATTGTACATAATGATAAGGTACTACATATTTTGAATATTTTTGCTATAAATAAATTATAAATGTTTGAGTAGATTAGCATGCTTACTCTGAGTTAAACATTGCACAATATATACTTGTGTTGAAACATCATATGGTACCCCATAAATATATATAATTTTTATGTGTCAAAGAAATAATTAAATGAATTTAAAAATAAAGATTATTGCCAAATTGTTGGTAGAAAGAGATTTTAGAATTTAAACATAACGTTAGAATGAGAAGAATTTTGGGGGAGTTAAAACTTTTTTAGTTATAAATGACACTTTCTTTTTCTTTCCTTAGTAGGAACTCAGGGAATGAGTTACAAGTATATTATGCTTCACCCAGAAGTTATCAAGATTTCTTTGAAGCTATTCGCCGAAGGGGAGACACATTTTACGTTGTGTCATTTCGAAGGGTAAGTTTATTTTGAAAGAATAAATATTTTTCAGGGCCTGATGTGTACAAGACATTGAGCTAAGTGCTGTAGAAGATACAAAGATGTGAGCGATAGGAAGCAACATGAAATACACTAAGCAACTAAAACAGTTTAAGTGTTGAATTATGTGCTTGACTTTGAGCTGCTCGGCATTATAACTGTGAACATGGAATGATGTCAGGCTATGACTTTATATTTAGAAAATATAAACTATGTATTGATTTTTAGTTTTTGTCATTTCTGTATCCATATTCTTTATGACCAGACAAAAAGCAAAATATCAAAATTTCCAATTTAAGCTTTCTACAAAAACCAATTCCCACTTTGTTACTGAGACTTCTGAAATGTAAATTTAAGATGAATCATGGGCTAATTAATATGTTAATGTAGAATGTTGACATTTATCTTGCTAAGATTTTTTATTCTTTCCTCTCTTCTTCCTCAGACATTTACCTTTGTTAGTGAAGAATGCCAGTTATGTCATGCACATGTAAATGTTTCTACTAGCACTTTTGGTTTTTTGAGACCTGTCTCACTATGTAGTTGAGACTGACCTGGAGCTCACTATGTAGCCCAGGCTGGACTTGAACTTGCAGCGATCCTCCTGCCTCACCCTCCTGAGTGCTGGAATTATAGGCATGCATCACCATGCCCGGCTATACTAGCACTTTTGATTGTTACAAGTGTTAGACTAAGTGGAAAAATACATAGCTATTTACATTCCATCTTCTTTTCCTATGAAATGACAGTGTGTTATTCATAAAATTGCCATGTGAGTATTTCTGTTACAGTTGTGTATATTAAACCAGGAACACATAAATGAGTTAGAATTCCTCAGTGGCTTGTATCTTTAAAAAAAAAGTGTGTGTGGGGGTATGTGATTAGAAATAAGCATACACTAGGGCCGAGATTTGGCTCAGTGGTTCCGCAGCCTGCCTCGCAAGCACAAGGGCCTGAGTTCGATCCCTGGTACCAAAAAAAAAAAGGAAAGAAATTAAGCATACACTAACAATAGAATAAGTAACTCCTTCTTTGATTACTAGTGCCACTTATTATCACTGAAATTCTCAGTTAATTACTTACTTCCTTTCCTAAATTATAAATATGTGTGATAGATTAGGATTTTACAACCAGAAAACTTTGGCATTTGAATGTTTCTATTTTTTCACTTATTAATCAAATATGGTAGAAAATTTGGAATACTTTAGCCATGGCATCTCTGCCTTTTGAGAAAGTCTTTGTACTCACCTTTTTTTTTTCTTTTTATTGAGTTTATTAGTACAATCTAGGTATACAATACAGTTACATTCATCATTGGGATTCTGTACCTTTACATAATAGGTCTTGATTCTCATTTTTTCCCCTTGTCCCTGCCCTCCCTTCACTCCCTCCTCCCCTCCCCATTTACAAACACTTTATTTCCATTTTTTCAGTTTCTCATATTTTTTTCCTCTCCCTTATTACCTTCTCCCCACCCTTCCCACTTTCCCTACTACACCTTTAGCCCTTTACTTCCTATATCACATTATTAATTATCTCATTAGGATCCTGTGTACTATTATAGTTTTTCACACCAAAGAAACTATTCGGTATTTCAGTTAAAGAAATCTCTGTATGAACATTAAAAATAGGGAATCCTAAAATAAAACTAAAAAGGAAAGTAAAAGAAAAAAGGCAATGATGTACTCACCTTTTTTCTGAGACAGTCGGTATGTTTCTGTACCACACCAACCTCAAAGTTCCTTTCTAGCAGCAAGGGGGCAGCTGAGAACAGGGTTTTGGCAAAGCTTCAACTTGTCTAATGAGAATTAAGTATTTGCTTTACTCTTGTAAAGTTTAAAGTGTGTGTGTGTGTGTGTGTGTGTGTGTGTGTGTGTGTGGAAGTGTGTGGAATAAACTGAGGTGTTTAAAGTGTGTGTGGGGGTGTAAACTTTAAAAAATGGGATTCCAGCTAGGTGCGGTGGTGCACGCCTTTAATTTCAGCACTCAGGAGGCTGAGACAGGAGAATCACCATACATTTGAGGCCAGCCTGGGCTACCTAATGAGTTCAAGGCCAACCTGAACTAGATAGCATGACCGTATTTAAAAACAGACAAACAAACAAAAATGGGGCTCAGTACTATGCAGAGACCTGATGCCTGTTAAAACAAACATGTTTAAATATATGTTATAGAAGTTAATGCATAAGAATATTTTTGAACACTAAAATAGCGAAATAGTTTTTCTTTTTAAAATAGTTCAGGCTGCTTTATTATTTGATCAAAACAGTATAATATATATTAGAAGTAGCAATTGTCAAGTCATGGATTTAAGTCATGATTAGTAATGTTTTTCTGGAAAGAGAACAAGTATTTTTTTCATAAAGAAAATAATCCTACCTTTAAAGAAACTATATTTTTATAAAGAAGATGAAAAGTATTCTTTTTAAAAAGAATATGAATTGCATTTCTAAAAAACTATTTCTCATCAATTCACTGTGAAAAATGCCACTGGAAATGTACTGATTCCCCTTCCTACCCTTCGGTGTTCAGGCAGACTGTTAAGAGTGTGTGTGTGTTTCTCTCTCTCTCTCTCTCTCTCTCTCTCTCTCTCTCTCTCTCTCTCTCTTTCTCTCTCTGTCTCCCCCTCCCACAGTCTATTTGCATCTTTCATTTCCTAATTATTGATTTATCACTTTTTGACATTGTATATCAAGGAAGGGTAAGGATAAACCTGAACTTAATTAAATAGTAGTAGTTACTAGACAACATCCGTTTTCATGTTTTAACAGTAGGGAAAAAGGAAGCTAATTTTATTGCAGTGATTATTAACTATGTCATGCGACAGGAATTTGGTTTTTAAATACATGGATTGTTCTTTCTGCTCTCTCACTAAAATGAAAATGAAAGAAGTAATGAATTACCTCATGCTCAGTCTCATGCTTGGTCTTTTCTTCTGTGTTCCAACGTTAAATACTCTCCTAACAGTTTCATCAAAAAGAAAGTATCTTTTCTTGTGCAGGAGAATGTAGAATTCTTCTCTCAATGAGGTTCTTAATTTCATTGATCAAAGTTATTGCATTGGAAATTCAGAAATATATAACTTTTGAAACCCCAAGTTTCAGTTTAGCATGAGCCATATATATATATAAAAGAGCTCTCAATAAGCAAATCACATTATTTTCTTTTATAATTGAGCATACATTTAATAAAATATTTTAATACCTGAAAATGGAAAAATCCATTGATGTTCAGTGTATAATTATTTAATAAACCAACTGTGTCTCAGACTTACTCTTTTTTAGCACACATTCCTGCACTCTTGAAAACTCATTACATTTGAGCTGCTGACATTATTTTCTCTAAAGTAGATGTACTGTTGGATGACTACTGAGTTCCCATTATAGGTCAGCAAGAAAGAATGCTTATGATTCCAGAAATCCTGACAAAAGCTCAAAAGGTTTTTTGTTCTTTTAACTTTCTGTTAAGAGTTTTTAACTTCAGCACAATCATTTACTATCTCTTCATTAAGTTCTAGGTGTTCATTTTAGCATGATTTGTATGGTAGGGAATGGAGAATAACTTTTTTTTTTCAAACTTCCAAGTCATTTTGAATGTGTTATAATTGATATATGAGTAAGAAATAAATCTAATTAAATTTCATGTTTGGGTCCTCTTCATGCATTTATATGACCCTATTTGGTGAGTGAGAGGTAAAAGAATATAATAAAGTGAATCTAAGAGCATGGACAGAAACAAATAACACAGGAAATCTCAAGTAAAATTAGGGAAGAAACTGATTCCAAAGAGAGAGAGAGGAAAACATTGAGAAGGCTGGTGGGGAAATATTAGTATACCTGTTACTCAAAAAAACACTGAAATACCATTCTTAGTAGCTTCTTTCTCATTTGGTAATATTTAGAGAAAGGATTTTAAAATTTTGAGGCAGTTTCCCATTAAAAACAAGTTATTTTCTTTGTTTGGCTATGAATGTCATAGCCATATTATCTCCACACATTTAATATTTCTTTTTTATTTTTATTTTTTTAATATTTCTTTTTTAAGATAGATGCCTACTTTTAGAATACCTATTATAATTATTTTGTAGTATTTTTTTATTTTCAGTGACTGTTCCTCAACTCAAAACTCAACACTTTAAAGTGTCTCTTTATCTGTTTCCAATATGTTGTATACAATGTAAGAGGAAAACCTGAGCTACAGTTATATTCCTGATTCAGATATGTTTCTCTCTCCCTTTCTTTCCATGTATTTTATGTATTTGAGATATAGTACCACATCTGGGTATTTCACTCCTTTTTGGTCACATAAAATATTGACTAGCATACTGTATATGTACTGCAGATTGAGGGATAGCCGTCAGTAATAGAAACTCCACCATAAGATATGGGAATTGAAGAAGCATCCCTGTGTGCTTGTGCTCTATAGACAGGAATGTACACTGGTCCTCATAGTTGAAGTAATAACGCCATTCCTGATTCCGCAGCAGCTCCAGTGATCCACTGTAGTCTTTTTCACACATTGCTGATTAAAACTCTCCAAACAGAAAAAGGATCTAGGTGGACAGCTGGTCGTTATCTTGTACTAGAACTGCTGTGGCAGTCTTGGCTCATGATCCCCAGCCCATCCAGCAGCTTACACAAAAGGAAGGCCTGGGCTACTCTTGTGAGAAATTGCTTGTGATGGGACCTTGAACCTTCATAAATATTATATCACACTACTTCTTATGTTATTTTTAAAAGTTCTTTCGTATGTTGTTTCCTCATTGTTCTAAAAGGATCGTCTAATCTATATTACAAACCTTTTAAAGGTAGAAAGTATCAGATGCTCTCTTTTCTTTTTCTTTTTTGGTACTGGAGATTGAACTCAGGACCTTGCACTTGCCAGGCAGACACAGTGCCAGTGAGCTAAATCCCCAGCCCTCAGATGCTTTCTTATTATCACCTTTGACACTCAGCAAAATGCCTGCCACACAGTGCTTA